ATATTACAAATTTCTGCTGAGGGAATGTTCAAAGTACAAAATGCTTCTCGTGCCACAAGGTGCTGAGTCTAGACATACTTATGTATATTCGATACAATTGTGAAATGTTAATTTAGAATAAGGCTGAATTAGCAAATGGAAAATTAGTTGTGAGGTGATTATTATTATTTTTTTTTTTTTATTAAAGGCTTTGCTTGAGAGGCCACGTTGTCTATTAAAAAAGAAAATTAAACAAGAATATTCCTGTATGTATTAACATATCATTAATAAATCGTTATAAAATAAAAAATTAATACTTTACTTGAGTAGTTTAATTACAGCAAAAAGGAAAATAGAACACTATGATTATATTTATCTATAAAAAGCATTTTATCTTGAGCCTTAGATTCGATATTCTAAAAGTTTTTATCTTCTCACGTATAATTTCCGTATATTCACATTTATCATAAATATGAGATATATAACAAAAGCATCTTGACCGTCATTTTTAATAAGATTCTTCATTATATTCTTTTTTAAGATTAATTGCTGCGGTTTGCTCGCATATCTATAACTGGAAATTTAAAATCTTTGCGACTGACAGGAGGAAGAAAGAGAGAGAGAGAGAGAGAGAGAGAGAGAGAGAGAGAGAGAGAGAATTATAAATCGTAAATTACGTTATACAATTTATCGGATTGTAACGTTATATGTTACTTTAACATACTATATATTCGAAGTATTGTTTTACTTACAAAATAATTTAAACCTGTTTGATTGCGAATTGATTTAATTGATCCAGAGGAATATATTGATAACGTAATGCACTTCGAATAAATATATTTACATGTATATTTTATAATCATTAAATGTTACGTATGCAAAATTATTTGAATACATCCTTAGCCAGATTAATTGTTATTTATTTTTAAACGAATAAACTTTTTTTCAAATAAAGATTATTTCATAATACATAAATTACTTGAACGTCTTTTTGTTACATTAGCCAATCTAATTCTTCATGTCTTTAATGGCAAAAGGATCTCGCGCGGGAAAACGTGCCTCAACATCCATTCGCCATGCGATTTCGCGCGCGACTTTACTCTCAAGTGAGCGCAAGTGTGCATTACACATACGCGTATAATCGTGCGTAAGATTACGATGTTCCCTGCCACCATCGTCGGCGGCAGCTTCACTTACGAGCTCGCGAAGTGAATCCTGAGGCACGTGACGAATCGCTCGACACCGTGTCATCGCGACGTATCACACGAGGCGTGGAACCCCGGCAGACAGTACGCACTCTCTCACACACACCGTGATATTTATTGTCGCAAACGAAAATAAAAATAATGCGAGTGTGTATACGGCATCGGCCGCCTGTGACATCAGCCCCTCAATCAATCCGTTTTGCATGATGATGCATGAAGCGCATTCGGCGAACGTCGCGCGAGGACACTTATCTGGGTGTGGACGCGACGAACGTTGCCCATATAAATCCTTTCGCCGGCACCGTAGAATCTCGATTATCTGAGCGGTTTAACGGTACGTTCGATCCTTCGCATTACGTTCACTTAAATATTTAATTCTGACCGTATATAGAGGAAAGTTACACGCATTATATTATAAAAGATAATTACCTACTTTTTATGATTTTTTTTTGTTTTATTGTAATAATGATATGTGAAATATATGAATATCCCGAAATCAGCGAATCGAAATATAACAGCAAAAAAATTCTCGAAAGAAATAATTTTAAAAAAGTATTTGTCATTTTTTTGTTTCGAATGGTAGTTTTGGGACAGAAACTGTAAAACTGGCTACTTACAGATTACGGTTAAACGGTTGTCGACTTGCAATTTAAAAAATTATTCATTACAAAGAATGGCAAATAATTTTTAAATTTTTTTTAGTACTTTCTCGCTATGCTATTTTGATCCGCGAATTTTCGCAAATAATAATTATTTGCGTTAAAATATAATTTGAAGAGTTGATCATTTAAACATCATTATTGTTTACCGTTAATTCGATTAAAGTAAAAATGTAATAAATCTTGCGATAGTGTTGTTCTTGCATATATTTCTTCTTCCTAGAACTCATATTAATGAAATGAATGCGCATCTTTCAAGCGGACTATTCCAGACCGCAATCGATTTATAACAAGGCTATCGATAATCCTATGCAAATATTGCAATGCGAAGGTCATGTTTTATTTTCCTTCTTGCAACTACATTCGATTTGCGATTAAATGATATATGTTTGTGAATTTGAAAGTCAATTAAACTAATCAATTAATAGAAATGGGACGTTATTATTTAATTTAGAATTAAGTTAATTTTATGAAAATGAGATAATTAAAAGATTTTATTATGTTACAATGTGTTTATCAGCTGACGTCAATATATTATATTATACATATTATATATTAATATTTATGTGTTACAGATTGATTAATATATTCGAGTAATTCGAGAATATATTCGCATTTCTTAATCTAAAATAAAAAAATATAAATATATTTTACAATTTATATTTTAAAAAAATTGTATCATTGTTAACTTTGACATTTTAAAAAAGGAAGAGTTGCAAACGAAATTAAACAATGACCATCAACAATAATAAATTTAATTTCATTAATTATAACAAACGATTATGGTTAATTTTAGAAAATAAATGATTATGATTAATTTTAGAAAAGAAAGAGTTAGAAACGAAATTAAACAATGACCATCAACAATAATAAATTTAATTTCATTAATTATAACAAACGATTATGGTTAATTTTAGAAAATAAATGATTATGATTAATTTTAGAAAAGGAAGAGTTAGAAACGAAATTAAACAATAATCGTCAATAATAATAAATTTAATTTCGTTAATTATAATAAACGATTTTGATTAATTTTAGAAAATAGAAAATACGTTTGTTCCAATTTATACAATTATCTTTATTAATTTTTTAAATGTAATTTGTTTTCTGCCGATTGATCGAATTTAAGCATGATCGGTAAATCTTACTACACAATCCCGCTATTTAAACGCGATCGGTAAATTTTCTTGCAGGCAAACCACTTTAGTACATTACTGTAATCGGGTACGAGTCGAGACAATAAATTCGCATAAACATAAATGATGATTACGGGTCTACCTACGACATTGCGCGTCGCTTAGATCTGCGTACATCATACTAAGTTTATCAAGAAAATTGCACGTTTTCTTTTGATTATATATTGTTACGAACTGAAACAAATTTATGTCAATCTCGAGTATCGCAATTTCTATTTCTTTTATCTTTGGATAAGAGTATTAATACACTCGGTAAAGAAATCATATGTTATTACAGTTATTTCTAATAATCTCGGCACTTTTACAAAATGAATCTATGAAGATAACGTTGAAAGATTCTCAACGATGATATATCATTATGGTCGCGGATATACTGGTATATTCCTATATGTGTTTACCATAGCAATAACTGCGCCCTTGTTTCTTTACGATACGCGGTGGATCTCGCAGAGATTTGCTGAAAGAAAGACGAGTAAGCACAAAGGTTCCATGCAAATTGTCGGTGTGAAAAACCTGAAACACCATGAACGTAACTCGCAGAGCTCGGAATATAACACTTCTGGGATAAAGTAGTATCCGACCGACTCGTGCGTTTCAATGTTTTTAAAGAATTTGTATCACAGAATACGATTCCATTTGTCGAATGTTGTTGTACGATTGTTGTTCCGCATCTCGCACATTTTAGTGTATTTATGAACTTGTGTATCAGATTAATGAATATTTCTATTATTGTAGTGCTTGTATTATTCTATCAGAAAATTACTTTTTTGTTTCAACAATTTATTTCAAAGTGTAACTGTTTTTAATTAATATTTTACGTGTTAAGAAATTCAATAAACGTAATAAACACAGATATCAAACGTTACTATTTCATAGTTACTAATTCATAGTTTTAACGGTGCAAACTGTTCTTTATTTAGATTCCAAATATTTATTTTTATTAAAATGATAGCGCAACTCAATGAAACATTTTCTGAAAGTGTTTCTAGATCACGTTAGACTTTGGTTACCGTTTTGCAGCTATGTTTAGATCACGTTCAGCTGGCGACGATAAACTAGGTCGGATTAGCGCATTTCCTTGTGTGAGTTCTCTAGTTTATCAAAAAAGACTGTTGTCATTTCTTTTCTCATACATTTCATAATTGCGAGGATTTATTACTTTTTGCTATGCGTCAAGCATGAAAATATTATTATAATTATGAATGTTTCTTAGAATTTTCATGTAATAATATCTATTTGATATCTGTTGCATATTATATTGCAACAAGCAACGGGTATTTATTATTTACTGAACTGAAATCTGCAATTTAATTATAACATATTGTAATCTTTTATTATTCACATCTTGAATGTAAATAAATACCGTATCCAATTAATTAAAATCCGTTATTTATTGATAATATTTATTTAGATCGCGTATTGAAAATTATATGTTTATATGTATGATAATTTGAATACCAAAGCTATAAAGTTCACATGACATTATACTGTAACGCGATAATCCAAATTGATAGCTAAATTCATCAGCGTGACATAAATAACAACTATGATAATCATAATAATTAATGCTATTTCTGATAAAGGCAACCCGAAAATATTTTATTCTTCCTTCATGTTTTTGCAAATTACCTTGGCAAAGTAAATTTCACTGTCTATTTATTCAGAGAGTCGGGTATCTTTCGCTACGCACGTAATGAGCTGCCCGAATAACTTGAATGCTTGTAACCGGATTTCGCAGATAAACGGATTTTCCGCATACATAGCAGTTCATTGCGTCGCATTACGCACGTTTCATCTCACGGTGATTAAATTACATTTGGATTGCCTTGACATCAACTGTTACATGCTGGCTCTTCAAAATTATACGCAAAACTGAAACAATTAAGCGATCATTCCGATAAATTATCAATGGGATTATTTTATTTGTCGTATGAATAACGCATCTCTTTAATTTTATTCAGATGGGGCGATTACTCATATGGATGCACTTTTTGCTGTTAACCGTGCTATTAGCATCAGTGCAGAAAGCTACAGCATGCAGCTGTGCGCAGGCCCATCCTCAAACCAAGTTTTGTGAATCAGATTTTGGTAATTTCGCGGTCAATTATATGTTTCAATTTTTGATATCATAGATATTACATAGCGCGCAAAAAATAGATTGAAATTTTATTAAATATTTCAATTCTAATTTTATTCAAATATTACATTATTTTTTAACGAATTGTATTAATATCTTATTTTTGTCTATATAATAATTTTAATGACAGGAATATTAATATTCAACTTTGTATAATACTTTATATAATGTACCTTATAACTTTTAACTTCGTAACTTTATAATATACTTAATAATTTTATCTTTGTAAATTTTACATGTCTTAGATATACTGATATATGTAACTAATGTATTACAATTTTCTATAAAATCATGCGAGTGTTATGCGCTAAATAACAGCGAAAATCACTTTCCGATCTTTGTAAAAGTCGTCGGCCACAGTTAATGACGTTCTTTTGTCACAGTCGTCGTGGTGAGGGTGAAAAAGGTTCTCCCCGTGAACGACTATGAGATCGCTTACAAGGTCAAGATAAACAGGGTGTTCAAGGTGCGTATTATTGTGCCGGCGAAACGTTACCGTGCGCGGAGAGACGTTCGTCGTGTTCATCGCGAAATGCAATCTACGCTTAACCGTACGCCTCTGCTTCTTCCTCCCGCAGTCAAACCCAAAGGCCGACATGGCACTGATGCAGAACCTTTTACGGACACCGTCCACGGACTCGATGTGCGGAGTGACACTGAACGTCGGCGACACGTACGTTCTAAACGGAAGAATCGTCTCGGGAAAAGCACTCATATCGAACTGCGGGCTCTCGATAAGATGGGCCGACACGACTACCAGGCAACGCAAGGGATTGAGACAGCTCTATCAACAGGGCTGCGTGTGTGATGTAAGTGGATCATATCTTATCTGTTGTCACTTCAAAGATATTCTTTCAATTATTAATTTTTTAATATTGAAGAATATATTAGTACATACTTAAATCTATAGTGTAAAATTTAACTACACGTGAGTTGCCACTGCTCCTACTAAATATATCATTATTTTTTACCAAAACGATAGTTAAATATGACACTGTATAGTGTCAAATATAACCATTGTTTTAGTATAAAATAACGATATGATTGAGTAGGAGCAGTGGCGACTTAAGTTAAATTTGATACTATAGATTTAACAGTACACTGAAAGAAAAAACTGCTTGGCTGCTGCAGCAAATTTTTGGTTGCGTTAGCCTATCCGCAATGTCAGTATAGGATTTCGTTAGGTTAACGCAACCAAAAATTGACTGTTGCAACCAATTAAAAATGTTATGCCATATTCAGCCCATCTTTTCTTTTAGTGTATAAAAATGTTAACTAGAGAGTATCACAAGATCTTCTGCCCAGTACACTTATAGCGTTTTTCATTAGCAGAGTTGATGCACACTGTGCGCACTCATCAGTGCACTTTAAAGCTGTTGTACACAAATCGGCCTAAAAATGTACGTTTAATAAAAGTATAGAAACGAATTAAACCATAAAATTCTCAATACATTTTATTGTGGTATTTGATAAAATATACACACATTGGGTATTTTATTAATTGAGATATCTCACTTTTATATACAGATTAGGTTAGTACAACAGCTTTAATGTGAACTGAGTGCGCACCAGCTTTGCCAGTGAAAAATGCTATTAGTTAGATACTGAAGGAACAATGGTAATCCAATCTCTCTCTTAAGTTAAATAGTATTTTGTTTTGTATTAACTTTCATATATGTCAAAATGCAAATCAACCCATTTCTATGGTTAAATTGCTTAGTTTTAAAATAAACAAAAGCATATTAACATATGCTTTTAATAAGTAATAAACTAAATTTGCGCGTCTTTAGTATTCAATTGTTTAATTCTATTGTTTTAACTAAATTAATATGTGTGACATATTGAATAGGAACTTATAGAACCTATTGAATAGGAATTTATAGAAATTATAGTGGCAACCTCTAGAGAAATATAGATACATATTGAGTAGGAATAGAAATTGCAGTGGCAACCTAAATAGAAACGATTAAAAATAATTCAACTGCATATAATTTGAAATTATGAATTTAACAAGCAGCAATGCTTTAGAATTTTATTACTGACGATGACTATTGTAATAATATTACTTTTTTCTCGATATTATATTACGTTTAATTATTAATCATATTTCTATAATCTATAACTATAATCAAATTTATTGTACATTTGAAAATTAGAGAGAGTAGAATTTCTGATAAATACATCGAAATACGAATTCAATTTACGTTGAACAGGAACTTATAAATCATACGCAAAATCAAATATTTTTTCAACTGATTCCGCGAAACGTAACTCGCTGCGTGAAAGATTTAAGGCAATGAATCACGTACGCTGTAAATCTCGGTCGATTTTATACAGTCGAGAATGCTTTTCAAAAATGGAGTGTCCTAAAAATACGTATCCACGACCAAAGAACTGCGCGTATTTGTTCAATCACTGCTGACTTATGCGTGACGCGAGTTTATGCGGCTAAGAATACGAGATCGTAAGGAAGAGCGCGAAAAAAATGGCCTGGTTTTTGTATCGCAGATTCTGTATACACACTGGAGGCGCAAGGGTGCCGTGCTAGAGTCCAGCGGCGGAAAGAATTGTCTGTGGGAAAGCACGCCAGGCCCCCAAGATTGCCAAGAAAAATACGGCGTATGCATGGCGTCATTCAGCGGCTGTTCCTGGGTTCCCTCAGTCCCGTACAAGAATTGTATTAAGGAGTATCAACGTAAACGCGAGCAGCAAAGGTCACGAGAACCTTAATTGGCACTTTCGTATCGTGTTCCTTTCGTTTGTGTCCTCGTGCGAGGATGGAAAGCGAACAGAATTTATCGTTTGTAAAATGATGCGACGTGTCTGCCAGAGAATTTGATGACGGACGAGCCGCGTAATCAAATGAGAGACGATACAGCGATGTGGTATGGCGATAGTTTAATGGAAAGCTGCATGTTTGTAGCGCGTATAAATGCAAGAGACCTGAACTTCTGCTATATATTACACGGAATAATTAAGTAACACGGTAGTTTACTAATGAGTTACCGCGTACGTAGATGCGTGAGACAAAAGAGAATCCCCGTACTTTAATAATAAATAGTTTCATTAATCGTTAAAAGCAATAACACTCTGCTTTGTAAATTGCCTTTATATTTTTAGTAGTGTTTTCGAATAAAATCGGATTTATCTAAAAATGCGTTAGGTCTTTGATATTGAAAAGTAGACAAGTGAACTTTAGCACTTTACTTGTGAGGGATGCAACTGTATGTATGTTCGTTAACGATGACATTACTTTTTGGACTAATTTTTATATAGATTTTGATACCGGACAGAAACTATTGTATTGAGAAACCGATACCATGCAGTTTTAAGAATCGCCTATCGTCTGTTAAATTATTCTCGTGACTTATTGTTAGATTCGATAGTAACAGCATTGGCTAATTTTATCCTATAGTTTACAATGGCAGTTTAACTAGTTTAACACATTGTGGCTATATCACAAACAGAAAAAGTATTAGTTAATTGTTGGTAGGTCTAACCGACGTTGTGGTGCAATCGACCCTTAATTATTCGATTATTATTAACGAGGGGTAAGTTTGCATCGTTTAGATATTTTGAAACGCGTGGATATATTATATGAATTTCATCGCTGAAATATATATGAGCGACCTACTTTCACGATTATTCTCTCGTTCTTAACAAGTTGTATATATATTATGTATTGTTTATGTATATTATGTATCATTAAATTATTCCAATTATCGTTTCACGTTGTATGTAGTCTTAGACGTAAAAAATTCGTTCGTACTTTATTACACTTCATAATATTTTATGTGCATTTTAGATCTAAATTAGATCGTAGTATACATTTGTTATTTACATAGATTATTATTCATAGTTCGGAAATTATATAATGTGATGAAAACACTGAATATGCGAATCTATAATCTTATAAATATATATAGAAGGTTTTGATGTTGCGTTGTAAAAATACATTCATTGTTTTTACTTTACTATATTGTTCTATGTATCTATGGATATATAGTTCCATTAACGTTAAGTGAAAGCAATTTATGTAGATTGAAATTCAAAATATAAAATACAAAGAATGCTAAAAATTTATATATATGTGCACTTTCGAATGAAAAAATATCTATTTTTTACGTATAAACATTTTATTTAGTCTAGCTCTTAAATGTGGTACTTTTGTAAGTGTTATGTGACATGTAGAATAAAAATAAATGAAAACAGTTGTTCTTATAAACATGTCCTCATTATAATACGCCACATATCATTCTAATAAAGTTTTGGGAATCTCTATTTTTTTTTAATACGAAAAAATGAAAGTTTTAAATATGTTAATTGACTTTACTTACCATTTCGCGATGATTGGGATAATAACTCTGTTCAATCAGGGGGAAGTTGTCTTTACCTAAACGACGCTGTAGTCCCAGCAGGTGAGCAAATACCCAAGGTTTGTCCTATTTCATAGAATATGATAGCAATTACTGAAAGGTTCACTTATAATGTGCATGTAAGAAAGATATATATATATATATATGTATATAACACAAAATCGATACAGGACATGTGAAGAGCCTCACACAACATATATATTTATGCATACAACATGTACATTAAAATTTTTATCATCATCCTGTTTAATTTTTATATTTTTAATACAGATTAAATTTTGAAAATGTTTACTATTAATAAAAATAAAATAATGTTTCGATATACATATTAATTATATATACATATGTAAATATATTAACATATATTTGTTAAAGATTTTTACTTATTTGTAGACGACTGAGATCATGATATTTTTAATAAGCTTTATTTTCTTTATTATGTAAATATATTGTAAATAATAATTAGAAAATTTATAAAGACGATAATTCTACCGTAATAATATATTACCTGAAAGTTGTAAATTGCTGTGAGATTATTAACGCTAGGTACACCGCCATACATCAGACCAAGAAGAAGATTCTTGTAATCTTCTCCAGCATCTCGTAGATTTTGACGTATCAATACGAAATCAGGTTTGAACGATCTGATAACAAATAATGATAGATGCTACATATTCGTCGCTTGATATTGGTTTAACATTTTAAATAATAAGTTTACTTCTGTCTCATTACATCGTTATATTTAACATTCTATTTAAAAGTTTATAATACATTATGTACAATATTAATTAAAAAAATTTTTTAATTATTATTTTAATTTATTTCTGGATATTTAATTTCGTATTGAAGTCTAGGAAAAATGTAGAGTAATATTAAACTGTTAAAGTAATATTAAATTATAAAAGTTATGTTAAACTATTTAAATTATGCATTTTAGTTTAAAGCAGAGAATCGATAAAATGATTGGGATGCAGAAACTATTCTCAAAAAATTCATGCTCAAATTTCATCTTACCGAATAACTTTGGTCCCGTTACGATAGACAGCCATGGACACTACGGTGCCCGCCTCGCTTGCCGTCAGGGACAGTTCTCGAAATTCCGCCTGCTCCACGCGAATTTCATAATCGCCATGCAGTCTGCGTCCCCGGAAGTATTTGCTCCAGTCGGTATTCTGATCATCGATCACCAGCAAAGTGAAGCATCGGTCCTTGCTGTATGACGAGCCTCTGGTCGCGCCAGATACCGCCGCTCCCAAAATAGAAGCACCCTACGCATCATTTTAACTGTCACATACTGTGACATTCTCGGCTTGCAACATATCCGACCAAACGGAAGATTGATTATAATTAACTTCTCTATGAATGACTGAAAAATGCTTTTGAGAGAAACAGATTTAAAAGTTTTGAAAAATAGAACTAATAGAGAGATATTGAAAGAGATATTTTGAGAAAGATTTTAGAATACTACTTATTTAATCAGGATTATTATAATAACTAATTAATTATTAAATAATTATGAATAGAAATTAGATCGATAAGAATAAATCAAATGATAGAGAGGATCCTGTTTTTGAAACGCATTGTGCTTAATAATATTAATATTCATATTTGCTTTGACTGAAAATAGGATTATTCCTATTATTTAATTAATTATTATTAATTATTATTAATGTCTTTTATTCGTTTCAATAATGGTTGAGCGACGAAGTTACTTCTCATTGAATTAAATCTGATTCTGTTAGACAGAAATTGTCAGATAAATTTAAATAAGGAAAATGGAAATGAAATTAACTTGCCTGGTCGCGGGCGGCACCGGTTAAGCTCTGTACCCGTTGGAGCAAACTCTCCCGTGTCTTCGCCGGCGAGGATGGTGCGCTAGTGGTCCGCGAGCCAGGTCTCAGGTTGAGACTGAGATCGCCGCCGATGGGCTGCGGCGGTCCCTGGGGTGGAACACCCGGGATCGGCGGCTGGGTCGGCAACGGTATCGGGCCTGGTTGGGATTGCAGGGGTCGGTCCGGCACCGCTTGATACGGCTGAGACGAGTCCTGCCGGCCCACGGTGGCCATCCCAGGATCCGTGTTGGGCTCATCGTCGAGCTCTGAGCTTAGGTCCCCTGACGAGAACCTGGAAGACAAGCTATGGTGGTCGTCGTGACAGTGACAATCGGTCGGCAGGCCGCGCACTGACGCTGTCGTGTCTGACTGCGTTAAATGCACATCGATCACAGCCATTCGGTGCTGATGGGATGACGAGCATGGAGATGACGTCGGCAATGAGACTGGGCGGTCGCTAATCGGCCGGCGCTGCATGCGTGCTGCGGATCTTTATGTCTATTTCGGTTGCGAAGTAGACGGTCACGGCGTCGTTCAGTTCAAAGTAGCATATTTGTTTCTTTTTTTTTCATCCATTAGGCGGCAATCTCCTTTTTGCTCAAATGATTTGTTGCGCGTCGAATAAAATGAGCAACCTAAACGCGAACAATACCTGGGACATCCGCACGAAACCACGTTGTTGCACATTTACATCATCGATTTACATTACGTGTAAATGTGGTTACTCATAAGTAACAGCGAGATTTACGTCATAAATAAAAGCAAGAGATGAAAGACGCGATATCGCTGATGAAAGAGGAAAGGTAGCGTTATACTAACGTTGCCGTGGGTAAAGCAACGTTAGCGCGATGGTCTGATATCATGACGTGCGTCCGCAGGCTGCTGCATTTGGGGCAATGCTGGAAGCGGTATTTTTAACGAGCCGCATGCACATATCCATATTTGTCGAACACGAAAGACTTGGAATTATTAATAAGAACATGAAGATACTGTATTTGGATTCCCCGTCAATAACTTCAGGGCGCACTTTCAAGCGGAGGTTCCCAAACATCTCGATATGAACTCTTTTGATATTTAAAAGTCCCCCTTTCCAATCGATTAACAGTATATTTTTAAGAATTAATTTTATAAGATCGAAGTTTCGATACTGTAAATATAAAAAAAGTAAAGAAAAATCTTTTTTGAGCTTCCTATTATATCAACATTGCTTTATATATTTATAGATAAAAAAAATATAAAGATTAATAATATAATAAAGAAAATATAAAGATATTTCATTAAAAGTATATTTTCATATTTGTCCAAATGGGTTTAACGAAAATCCTCGCATAAATGATTTCGCACACCAGTGTGGGAACCTTCGAGTCGAGTTCAGTAATCCTAATTTTCAACACTGAAAGTTTGACATGTTGTTGCTTGCTTAATGGCCGATTCAGGTAAGCACTCGTGTCCGGCTAATTAGACAGAGGAATCTATTTTCTCTTCACGGGCGCACTATGGGAGCCGCTGAGAGCGCGCAGAATATTGAGGTATCGCGTACATTGTTTTAAAGACCGATCATTATCGTGCACACGCCAGTATGCGTAAATTGACTTCATATAAGAGGTAACTCATAAAAACAGGATTTAGCTCGGCAATGTGATACACAAGTTTTTATCAACTATATACCTTTCAACAACGTATTCACTCTCAGCAGCAGGTAAAGCGACGTTTTGGTCG